GCTGGTTTCTGATTTATTGTAGAGATGAGGTCTCGCCAAGTTGCCCAGGCGGGTCTCGAACCCGCGGGCTCAGGCCATCCACTCACCTCAGCCTCCCAAAGGCGCGGGATTACAGGCTGAGCCACTGAGCCTGGCTTATTTTTCTTATTTATGCAGAGCTACATTGGCTGTTCTCTACATGAAGAACATTCCATGTTTTTGTTGTTGTTGTTGTTTGCAGTCTTGCTCTCACCTATTCACCCATTATAACTATTGCTATGGTTTGAATGTGTCCTCCAGATTTCATGTGTTGGAAACTTAATCCCCTGATTCATATGTTGTTGGTATTTGGAGGTAGGACCTTTGGGAGGTAAGTAGGACTAGAAAAGGTCATCAGGACAGGACCCTAAGGATGGAATTAGTAGCTTTATAAGGAGAGAAAAAGAGACCTGAACTGGCACCTTCCCTGTCTCTTGCCATGTGATGCCCTCCACCATATTGTGACACAGCAGGAAGGCCCGCATTGGATGCCGGTACCATGCTCTTGGAGTTCCTGGCTTGCAGAACCTTGAGCTAAATACACCTTTTCTTTTGGATGTATTATCCAGACTCTTGTAATTTGTTATAGCAGCAAAAAATGGAGAAAAAAATAGCAATTTTCTGTTTCTGAAATATTTGCAGTTCTTTGAATGGACCAGGTTCTACTGTGTGTGATGCTTGTTTCTGGTACAGGGAACACAAGGTATCTCCCAATCTGTTTTTTTTTTTCTTCTTTCTTTCTTCCATAACTGATTTACCAGTTTTTCAGGTGGACACATACAAAAAGAGACTACAGGCCAGACGTGGCACCTCACACCTATAATCCCAGCACTTTGGGAGGTGGAGGCAAGAGGATTTCCTGAGAGTAGGGTTTCAAGATCATTCTGGGCAACATGACAAGACCTTGTCTCGACCTTAAATCAAAAAATTAGTTGGGCATGGTGGTGGGGACCTGTAGTTCCAGCTAATTGGAAGGCAGAGACAGAAGAATTGCCAGAATCCAGCAAGTCAAGAATGTGGTGACTGCTGTTAGAATGCAGATGTGATGACTTCAGTCATCTTAGATCTGAGTTACCGTGGGAGTGGAAACCATGCGAGGCAGAGCCAAAGGTGGAAGCTGATGAGGCCCAGACCAGTTGCCTTCAGACTTCTGCAAGCAGAAACAGGATAAACTCTCTTGTTTAATCCATTGTAATTTTTTTCTCCTACTGTTCACGGTTGAACCTCATTCTAGACACCTCCTATATTTCCCTTTCCACCCCAGCTTCTCAGGGAATATACCATGAATCTTCTAATAAGACTGTTCAAGTGAGTCTCAATAGAGCCAAATCTGGCAACCTTGTTTAGAATTGTTCTCCTCAGGCCAGGCACGGTGGCTCACACCTGTAATCTCTGCACTTTGGGAGGCCGAGGCAGGAGGATTGCTTGAGCCCAGGTGTTCAAGACCGGCCTGGGCAACACAGCAAGACCACATTTTACAAAAGATTAACAAAATCTAGCTAGGCATGGAGGCATACATTTGTAGTCTCAACTACTCATGAGGCTGAGGTGGAAGGATCACCTGAGCCCAGGAGATCAAAGCTGCAGTGAGCCATGATCATGCCACTGCACTTCAGCCTGGATGACAGAGCAAGATCCTGACTCAAAAACAAACAAAGTATTGATCTTGGCCAGGATCGGTGACTCAGCCTGTAATCCCAGCACTTTGGAAGGTTGAGATAAGTGGATTGCCTGAGCCTGCAGGTTCGAGACCAGCCCGGGCAACTTGGGGAGACCTCATCTCTACAATAAATCAAAAAAAAAAATTAGCCAGGTGTGGTAGTGCGCACCATGTATTTGTCTTTTCTTCCTCTCTTGTCTTTGAGAGGTAGACATGCCCTTCTCTGAACTCTGCTCAGGGTTTGCTTTCTGGGTCAGTTTCCTTTCCCATGGTTATGGTCTTCCTTAGGTAGGCATTGAGGACCTTCAGAGGATTCTGTTTCCTCTCACCTGGTGTGACCCATGCCCCTCTAATTCCCTTCCTTTTATGTCATCTTTTTCCTTCTACAGTTAGATCTTCCACAGTTAGATGGCTACTTGGAAGGCTGAGGTGGACGGATCGCCAGAGCCCAGCAGGTCAACACTACACTCCAGCCTGGGCGACAGAGTGAGACTCCAACTCAAAAAAAGAAAAAGAATTGTTCTTTTTATTTCTGTGCAAAATATACCCTAGATATGTTTTTATTAAAGACTCAGAACACTTTATTGCTTCATTTGCATGTATAAATGCGCATTTCTCTCTACAAGATTAAAGCTTCTCATACAGAATTGGATTTTATTCATTCTGAAGTATTCAGGACCCAAAGGAGTTTCTCTGCATAGGTGGGGGTGATGGATATTCTTAAAGCCCAGACCAAAAACTATTTGCATCCCCCAAAGGTATTGAAATTTAAAAATGAAAAGGAGCTCAATGTTTCACTGACTTATTTTTCTAATTCTCTCACAAAGTAAATACCAAACCAGGCATAAGGAAGTCTGTGGAGGAACATTTCTCGTTCCCCAATTCCTCTACATCTTTTCATGTCACCTAATTGTATCCAATTGAATGGAGTATGTATTATTACAGGGGTTGTTGTCATTCAAGGATATATCTATGGAGTTCACCTGGGAAGAATGGCAGCTACTGGATTCTACACAGAAGTACCTCTACAGGGATGTGATATTAGAAAACTATAACAATCTGGTAGCAGTGGGTAAGTACAGCTTCCCTATTCAGATTTTGACTGATAAATTGCTTTTCCTTTTTTTGTTGTTGTTGATTCATTTGGGACCTCTGAAGTGCTTAATGATTATGAACTTGACTTTTAGAGGTCAAATGTTCTTATTCACTATTTGGCCCTCACCTCCTAATTATAATCTTTCCCTGGGTGTAAATGAGCAGTTTTATTCTGCAGCTTCTGATCCCTTAGTCTTGTCCCTAAAAGTTTGGCCCACACCCTTTGTGATTTTTCATTAACAGGGTATCATGGTACCAAACCTGACTTAATCTTCAAGTTGGAGCAAGGAGAAGAGCCATGGATAATAAATGCCACAATTTCCAGTCAGAACTGTCCAGGTGTGTGAGACCAGGAAGATGGGCGGTGTGGGAGTGAACCAGTGGTTCCCTGAGGAATGGGCATGTGCAGTGTGTACAGAAACTCTTCTGGAAGTCTTCAACCACAAGAGCTGACTCGGAATGAAATCACGAGCTCCTCAGATAAGGAAACCAGTGTCATTCCATGTATTTGGTCCTTTCTTCCTCCCTTGTGTTTGAGAGGTAGGCGTTCTCTTCTCTGGACTCTGCTCAAGGTTTGCTTTCTGGGTCAGTTTCCTTCTTTCCCGTGGCTATGGACTTCCTTAGGCATTGAGGGCCTTCAGAGGATTCTTTTTCCTCTCACTTGGTGTGACCCATGCCCCTCTAATTCCCTTCCTTTTATGTCATCTTTTTCCTTCCACAGTTAGATCTTAGTGTTTATCTGCAATCTTAACCATGATCTCTTCTGTATCATTGAGTGATTTTACACAACTTATGCTTCCCTTTTGAGTTGTCCATAAGGGTTTGCTTCCCAAATCTGACTGTTAGTTTCATATGTTGTATCTATTGAAATGCTCTTCCGACCGGGCGCAGTCGTTCACAACTATAATCCCAGCACTTGGGGAGGCCAAGGTGAGAGGATTGCCTGAGCCCACAGGTTCAAGACCACCCTGGGCTACTTGGCAAGACCTCATCTCCACAACAGATCAAAAAATTAGTCAGGCATGATGGCACATACCTCTAGTTCCAGCTGCTTGGAAGGCTGAGGCAAAAGGATCACCTGAACCCAGCAGGTTGAGGCTATAGTGGCCGGGAGTGTGCCACTGCCCTCCAGCCTGATGACAGAGTGAGACTCCAACTCAAAAAAAAAAGGCTTCTTCCATCCTGAAGATTTAAGCTTTTGCCTCAGTGTTGTAACATCAGAATTAACATCCTCCTCCTCTTCTGCACCTGAGTCCTGGATTTTATAGCTCTCCTGCAGGAGAGCTTCTCTTTGCTTTTCCAGATGTCATTCTCAGAACAAGAATTGGGAAGGCACTTCCTTCCAAAATTTCCATCCTTCAATTTTCCCATTTCTATTACTACTGCTGTTGTACTTCTTGTCCTGTATTGTGTCCTCTGTTCACCCGCCTTGGATATCTTGTCCCCTTTCTCCTGTACTAATCTCACTAATCTCTTTACTGTTTCTGTTTCTGTTAGTATTTTTTTTTTTAAGTTGGAGTCTCACTCTGTCGCCCAGACTGGAGTGCAGTGGCCGCTCCCGGCCACCGCAGCCCTCGCTGGGCTCCAGTGATCCTTCTGCCTCAGCCTTCCAAGTAGCTGGAACTACAGACACGCACTACCACACCTGGCTCATTTTTAATTTATTGTAGAGATGAGGTCTCGCCAAGTTGCCCAGGCGGGTCACGAACCCGCTGGCTCAGGCAGTCCACTCACCTCAGCCTCCCAAAGGCGCGGGATTACAGGCTGAGCCACCGAGCCCAGCTCTGTTAGTATTTTGTCCTTTGAGAAGTATCCTGTAGTTCTTTTCTCCTCAGTTGTTACCCAGACTACATCAGGGTTATATCATGCTTGGGTAGCTCAGATTCTTAGCAATTTTTGAGAAATCATATTCTCCTTATCTGTTGCTGCTGGATTTGTTTTCATTAGCATTCTAGTCTGAGAAAAAACAAACATCTTAAATTCGTCATTCAACCAAAGTGAAACAATAAGGAATTTATAGTCTCAAATGACAAGCTATCTGCTGTAGGCTGACTCCATAGTGGCTTGCTCCTCCTCTTCATTAAGAAACTTACTGATGTCAGGAATCAAGCTTTCATCTGAAGTCTCCCCATTTGTTACCCTGGGTTGTCCATTAAACTCTCTGCAGTGTAGTCTGGTAGGTTTCTCAGGACCAGATGTCACATACAGACATGGCAAGAACCACTGGAACAAGTTCTGTTTCTTCCTGAAAAGTTCCTCATGCCCTGAGTCTTGTCCCAAAGCCTGCCAGCACATTTTTTTTTAATTCACATGCCAGCACCTGACCCAGTCATGATGTGGAGGACGGGATGGGCTGTGGGAATAGTTTCCTGCCTCTGTGACCAGACTTACGAGCAAGAGAAGGGCGGATGTCTTTACCCATTTAGGACACCAAATGGAAAGAGAGGACATGGTCTGTGGGTTGGTAGAGAACAATGTGTTATAGTCATACCTTTGGATATTCAACACAATATGCCTTCTTTCCAACTGTACATCTTCAGAAATGCTCATGTTAGCATGAAATATGGTCATCCCTTCCCCAAAAGGAGGCAAGTACATATTCTCACCCTGGACCAGAATCCAGTTTCAAGTCCAGAATTTCTTGAGATGTGTGCAATACATCAGAAAGGTATGGATGAGTTGTCTATCCCAAACATACCTAGTGGTGGAGAAGGAACTAGGAAGTTATAAGAGAAATTCCTCTTTTCAGAATGGAAGGATAAAAGCCAGCAATCATCAGTGGTCCATTGCACACCTCATCTTCTTTAGGAAAAGATTATGACAGACTTTTTTGCCTGATGTTGGTATAATTTCTATGGTTAGCCAACTTCACACATCCTGGCATTTTACTTCAAGAGGATGTTCTTTTCTGTTGTCTTCCATGGCCACAGCTGAGATAAACTTTTGAGAGAATGCCCATCCTCTGGGCTGTTTCCATAGTTTCATTCATAGTCCACTTCTGTTGCTGTTAAGTTTTGGAGTATTTAGGGTTGAAAAGTTAAATCAGACCAGACTTGGGGTTCCCTTCAAGACTTAGCAGCCTTCCAGTTCATTTTTTGTAGGGGTTTGTTGTTGTTTTCTGGTGAATTCTGATAAACTAGTAATAAAAACCAAATCTAGACATAGTGTTATCTCAAGACTTCTCTTCTAGCCACTGGTCTTAATATTCTCACCCCCGGCCGGGCTCCATGGCTCAGACTGTAATCCCAGCACTTTGGGAGGCTGAGGCAAGTGGATTGCCTGAACCTGCGGGTTCAAGACCAGCCCAAGCAACTTGGTGAGATCTTGTCTCTACAATAAATTTTTAAAAATTAGCCGGGCATGGTAACGCGTGCCTGTAGTTCTAGCTACTTGAAAGGCTGAGGTGGAGCCAGGCTCGGTGGCTCAGCCTGTAATCCTGCGCTTTGGGAGGCTGAGGTGAGTAGATTGCGTGAGCCTGAGGGTTCAAGACCCACCTGGGCAACTTGATGAGACCTCATCTCTACAATAAATCAAAAATTAGCCGGGCATGGTAGTGCGTGTCTGTAGTTCCAGCTACTTGGAAGGCTGAGGCGAAAGAATCGCCAGAGCCCAGCAGGTCGAGGCTGCGGTGGCTGGGAGCGGCCACTGCACTCCAGTCTGGGCGACGGAGTGAGACTCCAACTCAAAAAAAAAAAAAAGGCTGAGGTGGAAGGATCACTGGAGTCCACCAGGTTGATGCTGGGGTGACCATGAGCGTGCCTCTGCACTCCAGCCTGGGCAACAGAGTGAGACTCCAACTCAAAAAAAAAGAAAGAAAAATGAAATATTCTCACTCCCTCATCCTTGAATTTAGTGGCCTCACTTTAAGGCACAAACCATAACCTGAATCTTTCACCACCTTTGGAATGAGAATGTTTAGCAGGAGGTTCTAAAGAAATAGGAAAACTAATGAAGTTCCTACCACAGTGATTTGTTTCCTTTTTTTAGATTGAAAATATAGTTTATTTAAAAAGCAAATTAGAGATAAAGAAAGAGGAGATTCACCTCTCCAAGTTAGGGAAAGGGGCAAAGCCAAGAAACATGGCGACAGCTGTTGCTCAAAGAGCTCATGACCACATCAGATTCTATTAAAGCAGTGACCCACAGTGATCGTTTAATGAGTTGGTTAAGACTGTGCCTGATAGGCCGGGCACGGTGGTTCAGCCTGTAATCCCAGCACTTTGGGAGGCCAAGGTGAGAGGATTGCCTGAGCCCGGGGGTTCGAGACCAGCCTGGGCAACTTGGTGAGACCCTGTCTCTGCAATAAATTACAAAAAAAGTAGCGTGCGCCTGTAGTTCCAACTACTTGGAAGGCTGAAACAGAAGAGTCGCCTAAGCCCAGCAGGTCAAGGCCATGAGCGTGCCACTGCACTCCAACCTGGGTGACAAGAGTGAGACTCCAACTCAAAAAAAAAAAAAAAGGACTGTGCCTGATGAAAGCTATCCAGACCTCAGCCTCCTACTGGCTTTTCCTTTACTCCAGTTGCCTATTACTTTCTTCATCATAGCACTGTTCTGACCTCACAGATGGACTTGTACCTTCTCTTCATCTCCTGCTCAGCCTTACATATAATCTCCTCCAGGGCTGTCCCCTAGGTGGTCTCATACAGCTTGTCATTCAGTATGTCTCATGTGCTGCTGACTCTCACCTTTTTAACTGAGCACTGAATATGGAACTGACTGCCTACTTGCTGTCTCCTTTTGGATATTTGATTGCTATCTCTAATGTTATAATATCCAAAACAAAGTCCTTCCTTTTTCTCTAAACATGTTTCTTTTCCAATGTTTTTTATCTCTAAAGAGCAGTGCCACCTTGCTATTCAAACTGTTAATTCCTCATCTTATCTCAGCTTCCATATCTAATCCCGTAGTACATTTTTTAGTTTTCTCTCCAGATATGTTCTAGATTTCCTCAACTAGAAAAGTATAGTCCAAATAATTATCATTTCACCCTGGACTGCTATGATGGCTTTCTAATCTGTTTCTTTGCCCTTTTCTTATGCATATGTACTTTTCTGTAACAGCTAAACTGCTCTTTTAAAAGCGGAAGACTAATCAAGATGTCTTCTAATTAACCTTCAGTTAAAAGGCAAAATTTTTGCTGTGGCCTTGCATAGTTTGGTTCTGATTTCATTTTGTTCACTCAGTAGGTTTTAGCTAACCTGGCCTTTTTCTGTTTCTTTTTCCTGTTTTTTTGGAGTTGGACTCTCACTCTTTTGCCCAGGCTGGAGTATGGTGGCATGTTCACGGCCACTGCAGCCTCGAGGTGATCCTTCTGCCTCAGCCTTCTAAGTAGTTGGAACTACAGACGCACGCTACCACGCATAGCTAGTTTTTTCTATTTCTTAATCCTTGTCAAGCAGGTTCCCTTCTCAGGAACTTTGTACTTGGTATTCCTTCCGTTTGGAATGTTAGTTTTCTTATGGCTTACTCATTCTCAGCTTTAAGGTCTCATTCTCTCTGTACCCAAGTGTCTTCATATCCTACCAATTTATTTTTTAGTTAAGTAAAATCTTGCAATAATAAAATTCATATATAAAATAATCAGCAATCGACTCCTACGTGCAGGCTAAATTTTTTAAATCTCTATTTTAAAAACAATCTTTGATACTTACCTGGCAGGGGAGATACCATGATCACGAAGGTGGTTTTCCCAGGGCGAGGCTTATCCATTGCATTCCGGATGTGCTGACCTCTGTGATTTCCCCAAATGTGGGAAACTCGACTGCATAATTTGTGGTAGTGGGGGACTGCGTTCGCACTCTCCTCTAGAAAAAAAGAAAAACAAACAACAACAAAAACAAAAATCTTTGGGCCGGGCTTGGCTGGCTCAGCCTGTAATCCCAGCACTTTGGAAGGCCGAGACGAGTGGATTGCTTGAGGCTGTGGGTTCAAGACCAGCCCAGGCAACTTGGTGAGACCTCATCTCTACAAATCAAAAATTAGCCAGGCGTGGTAGCATGCACCTGTAGTTCAGGCTATTTGGAAGGCTGAGGTAGAAGGATTGCCGAAGCCCAGCAGGTTGATGCTGGGGTGGCCAGGAGTGTGCTACTGCACTGCAGCCTGAGCAACAGAGTGGGACTCCAACAAAAAAAAATAAAAATAATAAAAACAACTTTTGGTTACTGTTAATTTTCTACCAGTTTTCATGAGGATCTGTTTTGGTTTGGTTTGATGCTTGGCCAATACTTCTTTTGAACCAGTGTTATAGGCTTATTACCAAAAGAGAAATACTCACTAAATGGCAAATCTAAAGTTCTTTAATCATATCAGTTTTATGTTTTGATTCAAAAAGTATGTTTTGTTTTGGGTTTTCTCCTAGAAGACTGGGAAGAATGGTACCAGGAAAGTCAAGATGAGTTTGAAAGTATTGAGAGAAGCTTTGCTTATAATGTGTTCGGAAAACTTCATCTGAGCAAAACCCATGTTTCTTCAAAACAAAGACTCCATAAGTATAACACACATGGAAGGAGTTTGACACAAAACTCAGGTTCAAGTAGAAGTTATGCAAGAAAGAATCCTGGTAAGTTTCATGGTTATGAAGAACCATATATTCTTAAACATCGAAGAACTCACAGCATAGAGAAAAACTGTGTGTGTAGCGAATGTGGAAAAGCTTTTCGTTGTAAATCACAGCTCATTGTACATCTCAGAATTCATACAGGAGAGAGACCTTACGAGTGCACTAAATGTGAAAGAGCTTTCAGTGCCAAGTCAAATCTTAATGCTCATCAGAGAGTTCACACAGGAGAAAAACCCTACTCATGTAGTGACTGTGAGAAAGTCTTCTCTTTCAGGTCACAGCTCATCGTCCATCAGGAAATTCACACGGGAGGGAAACCCTATGGTTGCAGTGAATGTGGAAAAGCCTACAGTTGGAAATCACAGCTTATTTTACACCAGAGAAGTCATACAGGAGTGAAACCCTATGAATGCAGTGAATGTGGGAAAGCCTTTAGTTTGAAGTCACCGTTCATTGTCCACCAAAGAACTCACACAGGAGTGAAACCCCATAAATGCAATGAATGTGGGAAAGCCTTTCGAAGTAAGTCCTATCTCCTTGTTCACATCAGAATGCATACAGGGGAGAAACCCTATCAATGCAGTGACTGTGGGAAAGCCTTCAATATGAAGACACAACTCATTGTACATCAGGGAGTTCACACAGGAAACAATCCTTATCAGTGCAGTGAATGTGGGAAGTCCTTTGGCAGGAAGGAACAGCTCACTGCACATCTGAGAGCTCACGCAGGAGAGAAACCCTATGGATGCAGCGAATGTGGGAAGGCTTTCAGCAGCAAGTCATACCTTGTTATACATAGGAGAACGCACACAGGAGAGAGACCTTATGAATGTAGTTTGTGTGAGAGAGCCTTTTGTGGGAAATCACAGCTAATTATACATCAGAGAACTCACTCAACAGAGAAACCCTATGAGTGCAATGAATGTGAAAAAGCCTATCCTAGGAAGGCATCACTCCAGATACACCAGAAAACTCATTCAGGAGAAAAACCTTTTAAATGCAGTGAGTGTGGGAAAGCCTTCACGCAAAAGTCATCTCTTAGTGAACATCAGAGAGTTCATACAGGAGAGAAACCATGGAAATGCTCGGAATGTGGGAAATCTTTCTGTTGGAATTCAGGGCTTCGTATACATCGGAAAACTCACAAATGAAAAATCAGAGTGATGAGATAAATGTTACAAGCTTTCTTACAGAGGCTGATGCTCAGGAGACTTTAGATGATAATATAGACAGGATTTATAAGCAAAAGGTCCTAAAACTACACTCATGTCAAAAAAGTCACATAGGAGAAAGACCAATCATATTTGGAATGAGTACACTAAGGCTTTCAGAAATAAGTTGCAAGTCTTTGTAGACAAGAGAGTAATTGAAGGAATGAGGAACAGTAAATATACCAAATATAGTAGCAGCATTATGAAGATTCAGATAATTCATACTGAAAACACCTTATAAATTTAATAAATCAGGAAAGCATAACATGGAAAGTCACATTCCATAACTGAAGCTATGTTTTTGTAAAATAGAATAGAGAAAATCTCAATTATCAACAGACTTTTTAATGGTACAGTATAAAGTTTTTTGTTTTAACATGTAAATAAAATCATGGTCAGGAAAACTGCAAGGAGCATATTCTGAAAATTAAGGGTTATTTAGAGTGACTTCCCTGATTAACACTGAATAGCATTTTTAAAATTTGGGGTATTTTATTTTTTAATGTAACTTGTAATATCTATATCTCTCTATATATTTGATAGTTTGTGAAATATGCCTCAGTATTCTCCACATTAAATACTAAATATCAGCATTGTCTCTTTATTAGCAATATAGCTTAAATAATGTGACATAATAAATGAAAGGATATAGTTCTCACTCCAGGTTTTCTTATTCAGCTGTCTGCATAATCTGGCACTTATTACAGGCTGCTGCTTAAGGGAACTCATCATAATGAACATTTATTACATTTTAGCAGTTCAGTGTCCTTTCTCCATTGTTTGATCTGAGCACCCTTGTTTTCTCTGGAGAAATACCTCCCCTCTCTCGGGTGCTTCCTTGTGATAGTGTCTTTTAGGTATCCGTTCCACTAGTCACAGGTGAGCATTATACCCATTGTTGGATAATGGTAACCTCTTTTTCAGGATTTTGAGTCTAATTCAGTCACACATGAACCAAAAAGGAAATGTGGGGATTTATTTATTCCTGTCCTAGAATTCTGTTGAGACCATTCATTAGTTCTGCTAAGTTGATTCCCAGAATAACTTTGGATACTATCCCATTTTGAACCTGGTTCTCTGACCACCTGTGTGTTTCCTCTTATCTTCTCAATAAAAAAAAAAAAAGTCTATTTGTTGCTGTTGTTTCTCTTTCTTAATTGAAGAAGAATGAGTTTTTGTTTTTTATAACCTAAAGTATTGATACGTTTTTGTGCTGGAGTAGCATGTAGTTAACAAACTTAAAGAAAAATAGGATATGTGATTCAGGTTTTTTCCTGAGACAAAATCAGATTCCTGTTTATATTCCAAGATAGGAACTTTTTAGCCCATCATATGAAATAGCATTATTGTTTATGTACACCTAGAATCTTGTAGCCCCTGATGGTATGATTTTGGAAACACTGAAGAACTGTGACCTTATATGAATTTTGAATTTACGAAGAAATCTGAGACAGGAGATGAGATGACTGATTTGATTATACCATTTTAGACTATAAGAATGATAGGATTTAAGCCATAAAATCTCTGCACAAGGCAGAGTATCAAACTCAGCTACTTTCTGTGACATTGCTGAAGTAACTTCTTATTTGTGGGGTTGAGGTGATGGTAATCAAATAGTACATTTGGTTTGGTGAATTTAAAAGTCAGTCTACCTCAGATTCTAAGTCCCTTCTGTAAACATGCATTGAAAAAGCTGTCCCTTGGTGATTATAATAGGAACATTTGAGAGGAACCTGAGGACTCAGCCTAGCAAACTCTTCTGTTATACTTTGTTCTGTGTGTCCTTCATTTAAGGAAATAGACTAGATCTTGGCAGTATATGAAATTCAAACTTGAGTGTCCATAAATCAACTCTTGTTGGAACATGGCCAAATGTATTTTTGTATTATCTGACAGCTTTTGCACTACAATAGCAGAATTGAGTAGTTGTGGCAGACACTGTATTGCCCACTCCTGATGAAGATAGAGCTTCTCCCCTTTTAGGTGGCATCTCGCTCTGTCATCCAGACTGGAATGCAGTGGTGTGATCATAGCTCACTGTAACCTCAAACTCCTGGGCTCAAGCAATCTCCTGCCTCAGCCACCTGAGTAGCTGCACCTACAAGCTTGTGCCACCATACCTAGATAATTTTTTAAAAAATTGTAGAGAGAGAGGTCTCACTGTGTTGCCCAGGCTTTTCTTCAGCTCCTGGCCTCAAGCAGTCCTCCCACCTCAGCTTCCCAGAGTGCTAGGATTACAGGTGTTAGCCACCATGTTTGACCTGAATGATATCTTTGACCTTATATCTTATCATACTACTGCGATCTGATGCTCCAAAATGGAGTTCTGACACAAGGCTTATGAATCTTTAAATCTCATCTAGCAGTTATTTCTCAGGACATCGTTACTACAGTCTAGTAGGCAATTTGCACCACATGTAACCCACCACACAAATTCAACAATACCTTAATTGTTCTATTCTGTTCTCAAAACAAAGAGCCCGCTATGCCCTCAGAAGTCATCACAATGTCACATGCCTATTAAAGTTTATAAATGAGCCTATTAAAGTTTATAAGTGAGCTGGGCACAGTGGCTCTTTGGGAGTTGGAGGCAAGAGGTTTACCTGATCTTACAGGTTCGAGACTAGCCTGAGCAACATGGCCAGACCTCATTTCTATAATAAATAAAAAACTTAGCTGGGTGTGGTGGCGCATGTCTGTGGTTCCAGCTACTTGGAAGACTGAGATGGAAGGATCGCCTGAGCCCAGCAGGTTGAGGCTACGGTGGCTGTGAGCATGCCACTGCCCTCCAGCCTGGGTGACAGAGTGAGACTCCACCTCAAAAAGAAGTTTATAAATGCATACAGACTGCCACTTGTTTGCAGACTGTCCTGTAAGTAACAGTGTAAGCAAGATTTCAGTTTTAAAACTCATGGGGAAAATTGATTAATCACTTGGGACTGCAATTCCTGCATCAAAGGCAGAGCCATCAGTGGGCATAAAAGGAGGAAGGAGGAAAAGTTCGCCCTCCCACAAAAGGAAAGAACAAGGAAACTTGTGTTGGACACTATGTGCAAAGTATTTATATTTGCAACGTGCTCCATTTTTAACTTGTTTTTTAGAGGTAGGGTCTTGCTGTGTTGCTGGAGTACCGTGGTGTGATCATGGCTAACTGCAGCCTTAGACTCCTGGGATCAAGCTGTATTCCCTCTTCTGCTTCCTCAGTAGCTGGGGCAACAGGTGCACACCACCATTCCTGGCTACTTTTTAAAAATTTTTGTGTAAACAGGGTCTTTCTCTGTTGCCTAGGCTTAGTCTTCAACCCTTAGCCTCAAGTAGTCCTCCCTCATCCTCCCAAAGCACTGGGATTACAGGCATGATCCACTGTGCCTCACGCCGGAAAGTAATTTTATTACTGGAAATCCACACGTTTGTTTTGTATCAAATTAGATGGAAAACCTCATTTTCCTCTACTAATGATTGGTTTAGGAGTCATGTATCTGTGGACCTACTAATATATATAACTGAAGTCTGCTGGTTATTTTCTTTTCTTTTTTTTTTTTGAGTTGGAGTCTCACTCTGTCGCCCAGACTGGAGTGCAGTGGCCGCTCCCGGCCACCGCAGCCTCGCCTGCTGGGCTCCAGCGATCCTTCTGCCTCAACCTTCCGAGTAGTCAGAATTACAGGCACGCGCTACCACGCCCGGCTGATTTTTTGATTTTATTGTAGAGATGAGGTCTTGCCTGCCCAGACGGGTCTTGAACCCGCGGGCTCAGGCAATCCACTCACCTTAGCCTTCCAAAGGCGCAGGATTACAGGCTGAGCCACTGAGCCCGGCTGGTTATTTTCTAAGAGTGGTATTTTTCTTTCAAAGCAATACATACAAGATTATTTGCCTGTTTCTCCCTGCTTTTTTATATTGATGTGTGATGATGTGATCAGCTTGTGGCGAAATCACACTGGAAAGGTGGCAAAATCCTGGGTCCTTGAAAACAATAGAGTTCTGATACAACCCTGGAATTACTATCTTCCAAACATAGTGTAGAAAAATGTCCTTTATACCACTTTTAGTTGGGGATTCTTTTATTTGCATTTAAAACTATTCAGATAAAGAAGTGGAATCAAGATACAGATTTTTTTTTTTTTTTAATTGGAGTCTCTCTCTGTCGCCCAGACTGGAGTGCAGATTCATGGCCACCCCAGCGTCAACCTACTGGGTTCAGGCGATTCTTCCACCTCAGCCTTCAAGTAGCCAGAACTACAAGCACGCACTACACCTGGCTAATTTTTTGATTTATTGTAGAGACAAGGTCTCACCAAGTTGCTGAGGATGGTCTTGAATCCGTGGACTCAGGCAGTCGTCTCACCTCCTAAAGTGCTGGGATTACAGGCTTGAGCCACCGAGCCCGGCCAAGACACAGATTTTTTTAACTTTACGAAAATCAGTAGAGCTCACTTCTGTAAGCTCAGCACTTTAGGGGGCAGAGGCAATTGGGTTGCCTGACCTCAGGGGTTGGAAAGCAGCCCAGGCAACATGCAATAAAAAAAAAGAACAGCATGTCTGTGGTCCCAGCTACTTGGAAGGCTGAGGCGGAAGGATCACCTGAGCCCAGCAGGTCAAGGTTGCGGTGGCCATGAGCGTGCCACTGCACTCCAGCCTGGGAGACAGAGTGAGACTCCGACTCAAAAAAAAAAAAAAGTAAATGGAGCAATGCGAGTTTAAAATTATTAAATACAGATATAAGCCGGGCATGGTCACTCATGTCTATAATCCCAGCATTTTTGGGAGGCGGAGGCAATAGTATTGCCTGATCCCAGGGGTTCAAGACCAGCCTGGGCAACGTGGCGAGACCTTATCTCTGCAGTAAATAAATTAGCTGGGCATGGTGGTGTGCACCTGTGGTCCCAGCTACTTAGAAGAAGGCTGAGGTGGAAGGATCACCTGAGCCCAGCGACTGTGAGTGTGCCACTGCATTCCAGCCTGGATGATAGAGTGAGACTCTGACTCATGGAAAAAAAATTATATATACATACATATGTATAAAATTTCAGATATAAGACAGAACCTTAAAAAAAAAGAATAGGAACATTAGGAAACAAGCATATTTTACATAATGACCTGACCTTTCATGGGAAGGTGCAGTCAACACCAAGTGGATGATACCTTTTGTGTCCATGTAGTATTTTCCGGATGCGCATTTGGCAGGTTCAGCTCTGTAGTACTTGAAATATTGATGGCGTTGTTGGAACCCAGTGGTTCTCCCTTTCTGTGGGATTCATGACTATTGTGGAATGCTGTCCTGTTGCTTCGGGGTCACTTCTTTTACATCTTGTAAATGACATTTTTGAAAATCATGGCTGGCTGCACCTGTAGTCCCAGCTATTCAGGGGGCTGAGGAGTGTGAATCCCCTGAGCCCAGGAGTTTATGGCTGCAGTGGGCTATTATCGTGGCACTGCACTCCAGCCTGAGTGGCAAGAGTGAGACCCTTTCTCTAAAAAATAAAAATAAAAATCATGCATACACATACTGTGTATATGGCATAACCCTATTGTCACATATGTCTATAATTTCACTTGCATGGGCACCAATTATCAACTTGTGGCAAAAGAACAGAAAGAAGAACTTAAAAGGTGAAGGAAAGAAGAGAAATGTCAATGTTGCTGACAAGCCAATAAAAGCCCATAGTACAATCTTCTGAGAGAAGGACATCCTTGGCCTGAGAATGGAACAGGGACCAGGGGTTCAGACCCATAAGGGAGGAAGGTTTAGTCATGCAACCAGATAAGCCATTGAAGCTTGAGATGGTGACTGAGAGGGAATTCTAGAATGAATAGCAGAAGAGGGAGATGCATATTTTTTGTGGTTCATCCTAACCTTCCCCTTCTAAGTTTTCCTAGGAAGAGAGGCCCACTGGAATTCTGGAGGAGCTGCTCTCCAGATTTGCGTGAAGTTGTGAGGAAGAAGTGGATTCATGTGGCACAGAGAGTATATTAGAGTGGACACAGATGTGCCACCCAGATTCTTCTTTAAGGACTTATTACTCCAGCTTCTGTGAGTGACATCAGTAGGCAGACTCAAATGTATTAGCTCCTTAAAATCCTTTTAGGGTCTGGGCATGGGGGCTCATGCCTATAATCATGCCTATAGCCTTCCTATAATTTGGAAGGCTGAGGTGAGAGGACTGCCTGAGCCCATGAGTTTGAAACTAGCCTGGGCAACTTGGTGAGACCTCATCTCTACAATAAATCAAAAACTTAACCAGGCATGGTAGCATGCTCATATAGTTCCAGCTACTTGGAAGACTGAAGTGGAAGGATCACCTGAGCCCAGTGGGTCAACGCTGGAGTGGCTGTGAGCGTGCCACTGCACTCCAGTCTGGGTGACAGAGTGAGACTCAGACTCAGAAAAAAATAAATAAAATCCTTTTAGGGTTTTCCTCAGTTGCACAGAACCACTTGGCATAAAAGCATTCTTCTCCCAGGGTGCTATCCTACATCCAATGACTAATTGCCAGGTTTGTATAAAGGCCTAGCCATTTTGGCCCATTGTAGAATAACTCGAATGGGCCATATGTGCTCCAGAGCCTCTATGGGATTGGCTGAGGCTTTGTCAAGCCTGCATTGCAATTCAGCTTCTCCCTCTGCCCATTTGCCTTCCTCCCTGAGACGTTGACCTTGAATAAATGCCTTGGAGTTAAACTCTGTCTCAGCATCTGTTTCTAGAGATTTTAAGTTGTAACAGGAAGAAATAAATTCATGTAGCTACACATTTTTGCAAAAACCATTAAAAATTATTAAACCAAAACATGAAATTTGCTACCTAAGGGGATGGGTGACAATTGAGTAGAAAGGAGGGTGATGGGACTGGAGTAAAGGGGGAGTAACAATAATCTCAGTATATCCTTTTGTATGTTTCTTAAATAGAGTACTCTAACTATATAGCCTCATACTTAAGAGAATATAGAATTACTGAATTCTAGTTAGAAGGTTTGTTTTTCAGTGATATGGGTAAGCAATTCTAACACTCATGTGTTCTAGGGCTAAACAAGTTGTGTGGAAAGGGGAGCCACTCACTTTCATAGATTTCGAACAGGGAGCCCCCCTATGGTGTTGGACTGGAATTGAAAGTATCAGCATGAACTCACAATTATGTGTGTATAGACAGACATACAAACACAGACAGTACACATGTTATTTCCTAGCACTCTCTTGAGAGAACCAAGAAGCAATTACATCCAGGAAAAATAAGCACACCTGTTCCTCATATCCTGTTGTCTAAATACTATTCTCCACTAAAAGAAACTGGAAATTTTTGGAGAAATGGCTGATTCTAAGGTTGAGGCTAGGAAAATACAAGATGAGATTGGAACATTTTGCTGTGCCAGAAACTAAAGAAGTACTCAAAAAATTATGGGGACTGCTGGGCACAATGGCTCACGCCTATAATCCTAGCACTTTGGGAGGCTGAGGTGAGAGGATTGCCTGAGCCCATGGATTCGAGACCAGCCTGGGCAACTTGGCAAGACGTCATCTCTACAATAAATCAGAAAAATGAGCCGAGCTTGGGGATGCATACCTGTAGTTCCAGCTAATTGGAAGGCTGAGGTGGAAGGATCACCTGAGCCCAGCAGGTCAA